TAAAGTCGTTCATAATAACTGATAATAAATCGAAGAATGAATGAAATATTATTTTCTATCTATATTTACTTCCTTTTTCTCTATACGATTGATAGTATAAGATTAAAAAATGGAATAATAGTAAAGACTATATTGTATCTCAATGTTTTATTTCTATCACGTAAATTTTTTATCGTAAAAATTTATATTATTAATTTATATTATCGGAATATTTTAAGTATATTCTGATTTTACTCTTTAGCAATTATTCAAGATTAGAAGAAAATCTAGAAAAGTGATAAAATTTCGATCCGATGTTAAGAATAAATATTTTAGTCTAATAATTGGTAAAAGCAAACACTTACAAACAATTAATAGAGACTTTCCTATGAACATATCTTCATAGTAACATACAAAAACATCAAACGCATCAATTCAAATAAAAAACTCTCAACTAGAACGTCAGAAAGAAGAAAACTCTTTTCATATCAGTAAGACAGATTGAATCAGATTGTTTTACATTTACACAAAACTTTGGTCACGAAGACAAATAATTCTATTGAAAATTTAATTGCTTATAATTTCGGTTAATAATCATTTGCGAACCTATAATAAAGTACGAAAAATTGAAGAATATATATGTATTTCCTTCATAAATCGTAACGATTAATAAATACAGTTCTCGCAGATTAGGAAGTAGACTAAATTTTTTCAAATGCAATGTTTGATCCTATATAAAAAAACGTAGTTTATTCATAGAAATGAGTCAAATCTGAATCATCATTTATTCATGCACAATGTTAACAGTCTGAAAAATATTTCCAATCGAGAACAACGTCAATCACTATCGATGTGTGAAGATATTTCTATTATTATTATTATTGATAAGTCTACACAATATAAAAACAAAAATTTACAACTCAGTTGTATGAATCATTGTTTTATGTTCCGTTATACAAATGTATTACAATATATGAAACATTAAAAAAAAAGTTCTTCACATGAATATATAATTGTTCTACTTCTTGATTTCGAGAAAGATAATATAGAAACTATAATATCACAGCTGAAACAATATCAACAAATACAAGCTATTTTCATTCTGCAGATTTCTGATAATAAAAAGGATATTCAAAATGAAATCTATGAAAATGGGTGTGGGCATGAATGTCTGCTCTTTGTATTCACATTCACACCCACACTCACACTTAAGATTCATCAGATATCAAACTTTAAAAAAGTGCTTGATTTTATAAAAAGTAGAAATTCAATTTGATTTTCTGCTGAAAGTCGCAACTAATATTGATCAACTCTCATTCACATCTAAATATAGTCATATTCGCATGCGGATCACGACAGTCTTGGGTCAAGTGGATCGAGTTTCGATGAACGTTATTTGTCGTTTTAATTATCCAGGAATGTGAAAAAGAACAATATCGACCCTAGCAGCGAATTTGGTTTTTATACTTTTATTATAAAAAAAGTAGATAAAACTCGAGTTTTTGATAAAATTTATCTGTTGTGCGTTTCTTCCACTGTATACTTATGTTTCACTTCATTTTCAGTCACTTCTATAGCGAATATTACAGAAAATGATGTGCAACACAGTTCTCTTTTAATACCAGTTATATTTGCCTAGTTGACAGAGTAACGACTATAGTACTTTTTCTCATTTCGTTTACTTTATATCTACTTTTTTGCGATGGCCATTTCTCGACGTTTTTGTATTACATTACATAGTATTTCGTATGTTTTTGTTGAGTACTAACGAAAGAAAACTTATAAGAACGACAAACAACTACCAATATGAATAGTTTCCTCTGTTTCATATATTAAATCATAGAAAGAAAGAAATATAAGTGTTTTATGTTTGAACAGCAATATTTTGTTAATTTTTATGAATTATAATGTCTGCAATAATATAACTATTTGTAACTTTTGAGTCTTCAATAATATGAGACATGAGAGCATAAAGAAAACAACCCTAGAGATTGGTCTTCTCTTCGTCAAAATACCTAATAAAATTTCTTTTCGAAGATTCTTTTAATGACTGACATGTGTACAAAAACATTTAAGCGTTTCTTTTTCGTTCTCTGCTTATTACTGAAGAATGCATCTTGATCTTCGTTTGGTTTTATAATAAACATTTATAATTTTCAATAAAAAAGGCGTGGGCGTCCATTTCAAAAAAAAGAAAAAACTATCTAGATAAGAAGTAGAGACGCTATAGAACGAGCTAGTTTAATCATTCTTTCACCTGCAAAGTTTCTCAAGCTACTCAAATATGACATATTCTTAGTAGAAGTAACAAATAATCAGAACCAATGGCGGCTAGCAAATCAAGTGATACAAAAAAAATTAACCCGGCATCGGGTCTCCCTACGCGTGTAACTACAGATCGACGTATGAACATGCAAAGAATGCAAAATGTCCTCCTGATTTGGTTAGACAACAATATTAATGATAATAATGTTGATTGTAATAATACAATCAAGCAATTAAAACGTGTCATTAACAACGTAAATACGTTTATAGATGGTGAACAATGTGTTGAATTTATTCGAACTATTACCAACAACAAAGTATGTATGATTGTCTCCGAGTCACATGGAAAACATATTGTACCTCATGTGCATGATATGATTCAAGTGGATACCATTTTTATTTTTTGTAACAATCAAGAATGTGATAAATCATGGACCAGAGAGTGGCCTAAAATAAAAGGAGTCTTCACAGATGTAACATCAATCTGTAACGCTCTTAAACAAGCTACTCATCAATGTGAGCAAAATTCTATCTCCATCAGCTTTGTGGCACCAGACAAAAAGCTGGATCAATTAGATCCATCATTTATGTATACCCAAATCTTGAAAGAGATTCTGTTAACTATCGATTTCGAAGCTAATCATATTAAAGAATTTATTACTTATTGTCGTGAAGCATTTGTCGAAAATGAGTATGAATTACATAATATTGAAAAATTCGAACGTGACTATCATGATCAAAGACCTATTTGGTGGTATACATATCAATATTTTTTATATTCGATGCTCAATCAAGCATTAAGACAAATGGATGTTGATATCATTATTCGAATGGGTTTCTTTATTAGTGATCTACATCATGATATTCAACGACTCCATTCAGAACAATTTAATAGTGAACAATCTGGTAAAACATTTACAGTTTATCGTGGACAATGTCTTTCAAAAGAAGATTTCACTGAAATGACAAAAACTAAAGGTGGGCTTCTTTCATTTAATAACTTTTTATCGACTAGTACAAATTATGATGTTTCTCTCTGTTTCGCACCACAAGCTGCTACAAATACTGATGTTGTTGGAATCTTATTTGTTATGTCAATTGATCCAACTGATTCCACAACTTCATTTGCTTCTGTTAGTGATGTTAGTTATTTTCGTATGGAAGATGAAGTTCTCTTCTCTATGCATACTATTTTTCGCATTGAAGATATCAAACCAATGGATGGAAATAATGATCTCTATCAAGTGAACCTAACACTGACCAACGACAACGATCCAGACCTTCGTACTCTTACTGATCAGATCCGGCAGGAGACCTTTCCAGATGAAGAAGGCTGGTACAGATTGGGATTATTACTCATAAAAATGGGTCATTTTAACAAGGCTCAAGAAGTTTATGAAGTTTTACTTCATCAAGCAACGGATGAAAATGACAAAGCAAATATTTATCATCAACTAGGTTGTATCAAAGATAATCAAGGAGAATATCAAGAAGCACTTGTATCTTACGAAAACGCGCTTACAATTCGACAACAATCACTTCCTTCCAATCATCCTCATTTGGCTAGTTCCTATAACAATATTGGTTTGGTGTATAGAAACATGGGTGATTATTCGAAAGCACTTTCTTATCATGATAATGCCCATGAAATTTGGCAACAATCACTTCCTTCCAACCATCCTCATTTAGCTATTTCCTATAACAACATTGGTGTGGTGTATAAAAATATGGGTGATTATCCAAAATCACTTTTATCTCATGAAAAAGCCCTTGCAATTCGACAACAATCACTACCTTCCAATCATCCTGATTTGGGTGCTTCCTATAACAACATCGGTATGGTGCATATAAACATGGGTGATTATTCAAAAGCACTTTTTTATTATGAGAAAGACCTTGTAATTGCACAACAGTCACTTCCTTCCAATCATCCTGATTTAGGTGATTCCTGTCACAACATCGGACTGGTGTATGATAATATAGGCAACTATTCAAAAGCTCATTCATTTTATGAACGTGCTGTACAAATTGGAGAACACTCATTAACAGCAAATCATCCTGATCTTCAAGGATACAGAAAAAACCTCGAGAGCATAAAAAGCAAATTATAATTTCTTTCTGTACTTTGTTTTGAAAGTAAAATAAAACTGATGAAAAAGAAAATGTGTCTCTATTGAAACTCTGCTCTTGTCGAGAACATAACATGAGCAGTAACACTCAACGGTAAAGTAAACAATACATATAAAAAGATATTTATTGTAGAAAAGACCTTAACGGTTAGATTATTATGTTTGAACAAGTAGAGTTTCATTGTTTTAGATAAGAAAGAAAGATACTCAACAGAAACATAGAAGAATAGAAGGAGAGAAAAAGTTTAGTTTACCAATAAAATGAATTATTGTTTCTATGGACGGGAAGAGTTTTATCTGAATGAATTGAAAAAGGAAGAAAGGAAAAATGTAAGGAAAAAAAATGACAAAGTTTTGGACTGAAAAAATAGTGAATGTAGTTCTGAGAGCGAATCAGACTGAGCATTTTGATTATGATTATATCTGAATAGATTTCTAACTATAAATTATTGTGGAAAAAGTTTTAAGCCTACTCAGGAAATAAAAAAATGAAAAACCATCATGAGAGTGTGGGTGAGTGTGACTGTCGTTGAAAAATAGATTATATACCCGCATCAATCCACACTCGCGATTTTTATTTCCGATATTTTCCCTTTCGACATTTTAATTTTTCGATAAAAGACAGGTTTACCGATGATCATCATCTTTTTCAATAACAATTTGTATTTCATGACTAATTGCAGTTGTACGATCAAATATATTGGATGCATGCGAACGATGAGTAGTAGCTGATGTTCCTTCATTATTAGCAGAATAATTTGATGATGTTAAAGAAGAATTTCTATTTTGTTGAAAAAAATTTTGATCGGAAGAATTTTCCATAATTTCATCAGTTTGTTTAAGTATTGTATATATTGGTTTCATTTGTTCATTAAATAATCTTACATTAACTGTTTGTCGATTTGTTTCAAAATCTTCATGTACAACACCACCACATCTTAAACATATTAATGTATCTTGTGTTAAATCATATAATTTTCCAATATCTAAATCTGTATATTCTTTTGCACATTTTTCACATTTATAATTTAATTGCTTATTTGTTTGTTCTCGTTCAAGATTTTCTACATGCATTTGCATATGTATTAAACGATATCGAACAACATTAATAAATGTTGCTGTATCAATTTTATAATAATATTGATCTTGAATACCTCGACTGGTTGTATCATCATTAGATTCAGGACAATGATCTTCTATAATAAATTTATCACGTTTAAATTCTTGAATAAATGAACGAATTAATTTAGGATCTAAACATAAAAGATCAGCTAGATCTTGCTGTTTTATTCGTTCGTAATGATAAATATATTCAATGACAAGAGATTTTGGAACTTCATAGAATGCACGCATTATAAAACGAATTAATGTTTTAAGTATTACTCGCGGATCGTTTGTATCATAACTTGGAAGAGATATATCATTAGATGTAGGATTTGTTGGTTGAGGGAAAGAAGAATTCATATTTGAAAATGAACCACCACCAGATGCAATCAACGACATGTCGTTTTCGATTGTATTTAGATCGGCAAAGACTAATCAATGTCTTCCAGGAGCCAACAACCAGTTTATACCTCTCGGTAAGTTTGTAATAAGCAACTTTACAGAGCACGAGATTTACTTCGTCTTTACACTTTTTATTCTTTCTTTTCTGTCTCTTACCATCATATATGTAAAGACAAAGTGAATGTCGAGCCATAAAGGTGTTGAAAAAATTTGCTTGTTATAACTTGCCAAGAGATATTAGTTATCTTTTGTTTTGTTGTAAATGGCTTCAATTCTCAAATTGCAAGTCATTACAGGTCCGTATAATGAAGAACCTTTAGCTTATCTTTTACAAACAGACGATTTTCGATTTTTACTTGATTGTGGTTGGGATGAAAACTTTTCACCAGAAATTATTGAAGAATATAAACGCCATATAGAATCAATTGATGCTATATTAATAACTTATCCCGATCTCTATCATCTGGGTGCATTACCTTATCTTGTTGGGCATTGTGGATTAAAATGTCCAGTATATGCCACAGTACCTGTCTATAAAATGGGACAAATGTTTATGTATGATTTACATCAAAGTCGTTCGAATAGTGAAGATTTTACATTATTTACACTTGATCATATTAATGCAGCATTTAATCTATTTGTTCAACTTAAATATGATTGGTGGAGCTATATGGAAAATATTGAAAGGAGATGAAGAACTAATTGTATATGCAGTTGATTGTAATCATAAAATAGAACGACATTTAAATAGTTCAAATTTAATAAAGATTAGTCGGCCAACATTATTAATAACGGATGCATCAAATACAAAATATTCTCAAGGACAACGAAAAACAAACGATACACAATTATTAACAACAATCTTAGAATCAATACGACGTGATGGAAATGTTTTAATTTGTGTTGATACTGCTGGTCGTGTTCTTGAACTTGCTTTACTCTTAGAACAATTATGGGGAAATAAACAATCGGGTTTATTTGCATATTCATTAGTTTTATTGAATAATTGTAGTTCTCAAGTTATTGAATTTGCTAGCACACAAGTTGAATGGATGTCCGATAAAATAGTTCAACAGTTTGAAGCAAGTCTTGCTAATCCATTTACTTTAGATCACGTTGAATTATGTCATGAGCTAGTCAACCTGATTTAGAATCTGGTTTTGCTCGAGATTTATTCATTCAATGGGTTGAAAATGATAAAAATAGTATTATATTAACAACAAAAACATGTCCAGGAACATTAGCAAGAGAATTGATTGATAAACCAAATCTTACAACAATTGAAGTTGAAGTACGTCAAAAAGTTCCACTTGAAGGTACTGAATTGGAAGAATATCTCGAACAGCGACGTATTGAGAATGGAAACGAAGCGGCTGCAGCTCAAGCAGAAAGAATGGATATTGATTTACATACACCATCAGCTGTGCGTCTTCTATCTCAATCTCCATTTGCACCAAAATGTAAGGTATTTGCAATGTTTCCATATAAAGAAGAAAAATATGTTTATAATGATTATGGTGAAATAATAAATCCCAATGATTATATGATTATTGAAACAAAATCTTCAATAAAAAATAATAATCCACCACAACCTCAACCATCAACTATACTATTTAAAACTTTACGTGAAAAACGTGAATTAAAAATTAATGCCAAAGTTTTATATGTAGATTTTGAAGCACGTAGTGATCGAGAATCCATTGGAAAATTACTTAATCAAATAAAACCAAAAAATCTAATACTGATTCATAGTACACAAGATTGTATTGAACAATTAGAAAAATATTGTACAACTAGACAAATTGTTCAAGGAAAAATATTTGCACCATGTGTAGGAGAAATAGTTGATGCAACAACTGAAAGAAATTTATATCAGATCAAACTTAAAGATAGTTTACTTAGTTCAATTAAATTTGTAAAAACACGAGAT